AAAGATCTAACAAATGATTACCAGATGCATTGATCTTACCACACAAATTTATGCCGATCAAAATAACCGAGTTGCTGCATGATTTGCTAAGTTTTCAGATGAAGCACATCAAAAACGGAAATCTTAATGAATTTATAGGTGTCTGCTTAGATGCCCCAACAATTACTCTTTCAGTGTGGGGATATAATTATAGAGGCAGTTTAAAGGTACGTATTAAGTAACTGACAAATCGCTTCAGAATATTCATACAGTTTTTCATGACAAAGGAACTATTTTTTAGTAAAAATCAGTAACCGGTAAAAAAATAGCGGCGTTTTTTTTTCGCTTACATATTTTCTTATAGTTCTAGAACCATTTTGTTCTAGATTTTATTTTGAGCAACTTTTGTTAGATTCAAAAACAGAGATAAAATGTAACTTTAGAAAGTTCTCATAGAAGGCGGTCTGACAGATGATGAATACTTCAAATTTTCTCTCATTAAAGACATACTCAATGTAAGTTTGATGGTTTGTTTTAATTCTTCTACACTTCTCAAGAGTAAAAACCAATTATGACAAAAGTCTTTAATCTCTGGTACTGTTCTACATCAACTATAACCTTTGTAGGGCTTACATGGTCTTCATAAAACAACTCACATAAAATATCACGGCCGGTTAACATCGGCTTGCTGTTTCATCACTGAACGTTGGCAGGTTAAAATAAATGACTACGGGCTTGTGCATCTTGAGAGTTTTGAAAACAAATCGGTCATAGGCAAGTTAAGCTTTTATAGGCAACAGAAGACTATTCCACACTCAGCAAACTTTTCATTATTAAATACTTTATATTGAAAAAATGGTAATTTTTTATTAGTCATTTAGACATGTTGTATAAAGCGCCAGAACATTTGAGGAGAAGACAGGAATCAGGCAGTCAGCCAGGTGACATTTACAGTTTCGCGATAATCTGCACAGAAATTTTGAACGAAAAGATAGCATGGAACATTCCGCATAATGAAACCACTGCTAAAGGTTCTTGGATGCTTTTTCTCCTCAATCTGAGATTATTTTAAAAGTTAAACAATTTATTAAGACTTATCACTGTTTTGTAAAACAAAAACGTAGTTTAGAGGTACATCCTCTTCTAATTTGCAATTAAAAAAACCTTATTTTTTGGTTTAGTACTGTTATAAACATTGCAACTCAACGAGAATAATAAAATTATAGTAATAAAATGTTAATCACTGATTTGGTGCTGGTTGGGAGGTAAAATTTAATTTTTTCGCTAAGCTTGCAAATTCTTTTCCAAATTGCAGCTCTTGGAAAAGCCCATAGTTGAAGTTCAAATCATTTTTTATCCAAAATCATCTTCTTCAATTTTACCGACAAAGCACCTTCTGTGTATTCAACGTTTTCTCTTATATGACCAGATTTTTAAGGTTAAATACTTGTCGAAAATAGTTGTAGTTGCTCATCTTAAAAAAAAATGCAATTTTTTACTGCTGTCTGGAGTGTTCACTTTTTTTGGCAGCACAAGAAACTTTTTAAAACTATTTTACTTAAAATGACAAATTTGAATTAAACTGAATTTTTCAAAAAATTATGTTAATCTGCTTTTAAACATTCTGTAATTGTTAGCACTTTAGCAATGATCTGAGAACCATTAAATGCGAGTTAATCTTATAAGCGAAAACTGTAGAAGAAGATAAAATTTTAAATCGTGATTATGCATTACAGACATTGTCAACAAAGTTCAACAAGGTAGAAGACCGTTTCCGCGACCTCCGTTAGAAGCTAAAGACACTGTTTCTCAGTTGATGGTAATATTTAAATTGGAACATACTTTTTTTACATAAATAAGTGCAATAGTTTTTCGTTTTTCAATTATTTATGGCTAATTTACTTTTAGATCCAAATTGTTAAACTTAACTGTTGACTAACCTAGTTTAGCTAATCAACTGTAGTTGTAACTCTAAAAAAAAATACTGAAAAAAAATTTCTGAAGTACTCGCAACTCAGCAAGATATAAAGTTAGAAATAAATTTTTTGTTTCACAGCGTACATAAAATCAATTTGTTTGGCTAAGCCTGAAAAACTTCTGTTTTAGTTACTCTGATACCTCACATACCGAGCAGGATTCACTTAGTACAATACACAAATTACCACAACAAAGTTTTAGCAAAATGTCTTCTTGTAAGAACTTTTCGCAGTAAAACAGCTAAGTAATATTTATCATCGATGTGGTATACTTTAAGTGAATAAATTTAGTGGTATTTTTAAAAGTTTTATCACATTTTTACCTTGTTCCTTCAAACATGCAACCACTTATCGTTTTACAGGGATATTTTGGTTAGGTCTGTCGGCACCAAAAAATGCTCAACAGCGTTTTGCTATTTAAAAAGCACAATTCAGAAAAAACTTGCTTAAATTCCTATAAAAACGCTAAAGCTTTAGCAGGGTTACCTAGCTAATAAAGCTCAGCTAGCTTTTTCGAACAGATCTATTTGTCTCAGACTAGATTTTTGAATTTACCAGCGTTTATTTGGCATTTTAGCGTACCTTAGCGTGCTCCTCAAAGAACAGTTATCACTTGCAAAATAGCATTTTGGAAAGTCATTTTTTTATAATGCTAATTTAGTGTAATCATAAAAAAAAGCGAAAGAAAGTCTGAAAAAAATTAATTTATAGTTTAAAAACTCAACTAATATTTGAAAGATTTGTTAGTATTTTTGAGTGTTTGTTGATTAAGTTTTCAACACATGATGTTTTGCTGCTAATGCAACTTATTTTCAGATACCAATTATTCGACAGTGTTGGTCTGAATTTCCAAGAGAGAGACCAACCACTCGTAAACTATGTTTCGCTTTAAAAAAAATCAAATTCTACAGGTAATTAAGATTATTTTCATTTTTTTATAACTTTTCAGCATACTTTAGTTTTCAAAGCAAGTTTTTTGTGCGTTTCCAGTAATAATAAATTGGAAAAGAATATAAAGTTTTTCAAACAGTAAATATTCAAAAGTAAAAGCTACATAAAGATCTTTCTTTTTGCTTCTAAAAAAACTGTTTTCTAATAATAGTACAGTTAAAATTTTAAAAAATGAAATAAACTTTTATAAAATATATAAAATTGAAAAAGCTTATTACACACATATTTTTGAAAAGTACATACATTTTTTCAATTGTGGAGATTTACTTCCACTATATTTTTAAATTTCATAATGAAGAAGCTTTTTTCTTTTTTATGATAACAATATCCTTGAATTTCTATAAAAAATATAGCTGAAGACATCGTCACTGAGTTAAGCCGCTTTGTAGCATTACAGCTAAAAGTCTCCCTTTTTCTTTTACAAAAGCCTGTAAATTAACATATTTCCATCTCCCACCTCGTAGCTTGAACATGTATTTGTTGAGCCATAACTTTTTCTTATCTATAGCTGGACAAGTTTTCTACCGTTTTGTTCGCTCTCGTCAGTAGTCTCACTTTTTTCTTTTATAGGAGCACTACATATTTGGTAGTATTTTCCTTTTAGTACATTCTTTTCTCCCATGTGCTGCTGATTGAAAGCCAAATTTCACCTTTGTCAAACAGTTTTCTACATTTTTTTTATTCGTGTTGAGAAAAGGTTTTAGTTACACATTTATGATAATATTGCTGAGTTTTGTCGGCTAACTTACCGCATGATAAAAATCTGGCGTTTTGCTTAAGTGCTAAAATATTCTATTTTTTTCTTATATGGTATAATGCGGACCTGTATCTAGACGAGATTGTTGGTTCAGGCATTTTTGTTCCTTCTAAAACATATTTTCGTGACCAAATCTTATCTGAAAAATTCAAAAAAAAATTTTTTTTTAGAATTAACAGTATAAGTTATAATCTCATAATTTTTTTTAGAAATTTACTTTACCAATGCTTTTGTAATGCTTTTTGAATAGTAATATAAACTGAGATTTGAGATGTTGAAGAAATAATGACTCAAGAAGTGAATAGCATGAGATAAGACACCTAAGATTATATTTTTAAAAATTGATGTCAGCGAACATGACAACTGAGGTTATTGTATTTGAAAACCTCTTTTTTGTTGTTATTGCCTGATAGTTTGAATTTCTGACATGAAAGGTACTCAAGGTTGTCATGATACTTCAAAAAGCGTAACTCGTTTCACAACTAGCCAATCAATCAGTATATCTCATCGTACACACTACGGAATTCTGTGCAATAAAGTTAATTTTGAAAAAGATTTTATCTTTTTTGTGACTTCGTTGACTTTTAACTTGTTGATAGTTTAGATGTTTATAAGTTAAAAAAATTGTCGAAAATTTTTGGGAGCAAACAATTCTACAGAAAACGGCACAAGCGGAAGACGATTAATTGGAAAATAGAGAATTTAGACACTTTAAAAGATGTCAATTCTCTCAAAAAAGATTTGATATTTCACACTCAAATTTGTCAGTCTGTCAAACCTGCAAACTAAAACTTGTCACATTTCCAGTAGATTTGAATAACCAAATAAAAAATCAGATCTTAAAATTTTATCTTTTAAAATTAATTTTTTATTGAAAAAAAAGATTAATTTGAAAATTCCTTTATTTTTTAACAAACAGTTAAATATTTTTCTCAAATTCTGCATGCGTTCTTACTGCTATTTTGCCTAATTTTTGCCAAGAACTTTGAGCATAATGTGGTTACAAACCGTCTCCACTTCTCTGAACAATTTTTAAAGAGCTATTTAGCCAAATTAGAATAATGTGAATATTTACCTCAGCAATCTTTATTAAATCAAGGCTATAGACTAAAGTTAACTGTAGTCGGCATATTTGGTGAACATATAAAACCTCATCGCATTTTGCATTAATAGACAGTAAATTCACTGTGCATTCAAAAGAGGTAAAAACATAGTGATAAGTAATCTACAAACATTTTTCTTAAAATGATGAGATGCTTGAGCTTTTTTCAATTTAGTAAAGTTTAATATTTTAAAACATATAACAGGTTATATACTCATTTAGTAAGTCATCACTAATGGACCATATGCTGACCCAAATGGAGGAATATGCTAAAAATCTAGAAGAAGAAGTTGAAAAAAAGCGAAGAGAAGCGAATGAGGAAAGAGAGAAAATAGCCAGCCTACTAGATCGTATTTTGCCTAAGTAGAACTTCTTGTCTTCAGTTGCTGAACTAACTACTCAGTAGATAAATAAACTGCATATAACACATTTTTTACAGCTTCAACCTTAAGTTTTGTTTTTAAATTAAAATTTCTTAAAACCACTGCTATTTTCTTTCTTTTTTTATTTTTATCTACTGAATTTGTTAAAAAATAGTAAATTCAAATTGGCATTCACAAGTGGTGAAGTGTAGGCAAATAGTAGAAACCTTAAAGACCGGAGTGGAGATGGAACCAGAAAGTTTCAACGAAGTTTCACTTCTTTATCTCAATATTGTATCGTTCACCTCTATCACTTCCAAATGTCTGCCGTTACAGGTATGACAGATATTTTTTGAAAACTGCTTTTAATAAGTGTCATGTGGACTTGGTAAATGACAATCGAGCTCTAATTTATATGTTCGCTTACTTCTTTTATTTATTTAAATTAGTATAATTCACATATATTTGCTTTATTCAAAAAAAAATAAGCGAAAAAAAACATAATAATTAATAGAACTGATACAGAGCAAAAAAAAAAAGTTGCATTCAGGTTATTGAAATTATTAACGAGGTATTCACGACGCTTGACAACCTTGTCAATAAACGCGATGTTTATAAGGTTAATTACTAATTATTAAAGAATATCTGAAGTAGTGTTTGCATACGTACAGTTTCCGTTACCTTTCTTTTAAGACCCAAAACACCTATCAAAATTTTGAGGCAGAAAGCTTGTGTTTGGAGTCTTGCACAAATACCAACTGCTGCTTGTAATAAAAAAAACTTTGAAAATTGGTGATTCACTAATTTGATATTTCATGATTTTTCAAATTTTCTGAATTCTACGTTTTACCTCTAGGTTAACACTGTTGGAGACTCTTACTTATGTGCGTCAGGAATACCAGTACGAAACGGTCATGAACATGGTCATGAAATTGCCACCTTAGCGCTGGACATCGTGAAGAATTTTAAAAACTTTAAATCTAAACTGCTATCCGAACAAAATTTTCAGTTACGTATCGGCGTTCACACAGGTAACCAATTCTAAAACCTGTTGCGATTTTATTCTAAACACTCTAGAATCTTCCACTATAGAAAATTTAAAAAAGCTTATTTTACTTCAAAGTTTTCAGACAATCATGTACGATGCTTTTATAAAGATTTTTTTACAGGCCCTGTCGTAGCTGGCTTAACTGGTAAGAGTATGCCTCGGTATAATGTGTTAGGAGACTCTGTGAAAATCGTTCGCCAGCTTGAATGTAGCGGAAAACGTTGGTTTCTCACAGTGTAAGGAAACAGCCACTCTATGTGCCAAAAATTTGATCAATTTACTTTGCAGCTGGAAAAATTCATCTATCCTCAGACGCTAATCGTTTTCTAACTGAAGTGCTGTCAGGATATGAGACAATACCGCGAGGTGAAATGCTCATAAAGGTATAACTTTTTGGTATCTCTCATTCATTTTCTTTTTTTTTAAATAACTAGTGCATAATTTGCTTGCAGCACCAAAATTGATCTTTTTAGTAATAAATATTAGTAAAATTTGAAATTGGCTTTATTTAACTGTTTGGAAGAATCTGAACATCTAGTGTGACTGGTATTCCAACCGTATTTTGACGAAAATTTTAAGAATTTTTCAGGGATTTGGAATGATGAAGACATTTTGGTTGCTATCAGACAAAGAAGATTGAGAGTGATATTGTAAGTAAACGTTTTTACGTCCTGGTGACACACTGAATAGCATTTTCAAAAACCGCAATAAATGTATTACTTAAGTAAGCATCAGTCGAGATCACACCTTATATCATAGAAACAGAAATTCAACACGTATATTCACAGCTGTGATTATTTAATTCAAAATAAATTTACTTTTTCGATTATACGTAGCAGTTCCGAAAAACTGATTGAGGAATGATAGAGGACTTGTAGATTCGTAATCAAATGTTCTTTTTTAAATTTCAGTTGCGTTTTTAAACACTGTCTTAAGTACATGCGACGTATAGAATGTCTGCTAGAATTCTACAGACCTTCCTGCTAAGACCTTTTTTTTTTTTCTTATGCTGTTGAAACAACTTCAACAGCATAAGAAAAAGTTCGGAAAAACCATTTATTGATGCATATCGTCTTTTGTATTTTGTTTAATTCTTCAATTTATCATCATCATTAAGATAATAAAATCGTTGTTTGGAATGAAAAAAACTAAATTCCTAAATAATTTTCAAAAATTTAAAGTAGTATTTTTTTAAAATGTGAGTTACTTCATATTAGTCGGCACACTTTTGTCATTTGGCATCTTGAAATTTTTCCAGACTTTGGAAATTGTTAATGTCTAGGTCAGCATAGAGAATGCAGGGAAGAGGACACGGAAGGGTAAATTTCCTGTGAACCTAGATCCCGTAAATCTCGCAAAACTTACTAAGTTGCTGCCTGACGGGCTTGTCTTTAAAGATTTGTGATTCAACTTAACCTTGACTTTACATATAAGATTAAAACAAAAATGAAAATACAGCAGCATTTTTTCATGAAAACTCACGTTTTAAATTTCTCTAGAAATTTTCTGAAAGCATAATTCTTGTGTAAAACAATAATATTCTAAGGTACTCTTTTTATAGTCAAATTGGTGAGAATAAACTGCAAAAATCTTCATTTTTTCTACTAATTTATTGCCTCTGCAAAAAACAACGCCATCGTTCCAATTGAA